ATATAATTACAAATAATCAAATAATTGAGGATAATCAAATAATTAAAAACAATCAAATAATTAAAAATAATCACCTAAAATATTCAAACATTTGTCTATATCTATCTCGATTCGTTTTGCCTGTTACAAACAACCGTTATGTGAACAAAGTTATAATACCCTTGTGCACAAGTGCGCTCGGGTATAAAAATTTGCCTGCCAAACACAGTTCCATCTATTTGGAAAAATAACTAAAAATAATCATATAATTACAAATAATCAAATAATTGAGGATAATCAAATNCTGATCATTTATGTATACATTTGTCTATATCTATCTCGATTCGTTTTGCCTGTTACAAACAACCGTTATGTGAACAAAGTTATAATACCCTTGTGCACAAGTGCGCTCGGGTATAAAAATTTGCCTGCCAAACACAGTTCCATCTATTTGGAAAAATAACTAAAAATAATCATATAATTACAAATAATCAAATAATTGAGGATAATCAAATAATTAAAAATAATCAAATAATTAAAACAAAAATTTGATTAATTTTGATTACTTGATTATTTCTAATTATTTTTTAATTACAATCAATCATGATTATTTTTAATCATAGTTAATTACACAGGTCCACAAAAAAAATCGATGAAAGGTTCCTTTGGCCAAACCTAGTCTGTTACATGTTTTTGAGGTCGCTGAACNCATATAATTACAAATAATCAAATAATTGAGGATAATCAAATAATTAAAAATAATCAAATAATTAAAACAAAAATTTGATTAATTTTGATTACTTGATTATTTCTAATTATTTTTTAATTACAATCAATCATGATTATTTTTAATCATAGTTAATTACACAGGTCCACAAAAAAAATCGATGAAAGGTTCCTTTGGCCAAACCTAGTCTGTTACATGTTTTTGAGGTCGCTGAACCACGAATCTGAAGTCCGTTTTGCTCCATCACATCTAGATTTTTTCCTAACCTCAAAAAACACCTCGGATTTTCTCTGTCACGTAAAATCCGAGATGTTTTTTTAGGTTAGACTTCAGATTCGTGTTCAGCGACCCAAAAAAAAATAGAACCTTTCATCGATTTTTTTTGTTGACCCGTGTTATTAATTGCTGAATTATGTTGAAAACTAAAATAATCATTAAAACTGAAATGCAAAAAAAATAATGATTACTAATCGTAATGGAATTTTAGCAGCTCTGTTTTAAAGTATGCTCGGCCTAGGACATTGCTTCTGGAGTTTTTTGCTTACAACCGTACAGAGGTAGTAACTAATAATTACCATTGGCCACATTGCCTACCCATTGCTTTTTTTAACCAATAAATATTTTTATACCCGAGCGCACTTATACACAATGGTATTATACCTTTATTCACATAACGGTTTTTTGTAACAGATCACTTTTTTCCTAAACTTGGCACAGTTGTTGGCCTTGGTAAAACATGCCAAGCCGCTGAAAATTTTGATCGGACAATAACCACGCCTACATCCCATATAACGGAAACTAATTTATTCAAAATTAATGTTTGCAATAATTCTTAGGCAAAAGATACCCTAATAAACTTTTTTTAAAAAGGGCGTGACACCGTGTATGTGCATATGTGGCCGTTATATCAATTTATACATAACTCGGCATAATTATTATAATTGACATATAAGCGCAAAACGTTGAAAATGTTTGAAATCGCACTAAAATTACGCCCACTGCTCATATAACGGTAAATTTCATAAATACGGAAACCTCCATATTTCGAAATTTAAGGACGATAATTTACTCAAGGCTTAATACTCACAATAATCTGTTAAAAAAAAATATTATAGAATTTTGATAAATGGGCGTGGCACCGCTAATTTATTGGTATTTTCAATGGAAATTTCCTGAAGATAAACAAAGTCTTCCGATCGAAAAATATTAATTTTCAAGAAATCTATATCATTCATATAAAATACATGGAAAACTTTGAGCGCTTTGAGCGACCTCTCAATATTTTTTGATTTCAAAATAAATAAAAAAAACATGGGTACAATTTTTTCGGCATTGAACAATTCTAGAGGGTAAGTGCATTAAAATTGCAACTTTACTTTTTTTGGACCACTCTAATGTATTTTGTTGACTCAGTCAGTTATTCAGTTACCACACTTACTCCGAGACTGTTCAGGTACAGAACTAAATTCATCTGCTGATTGTAATGTTATTGATATTCTTGGCTAATCAATTAGTGAGGACAGTACTTAGTATAGCTTTCTTGCAGTTGGCTTTACGATTAAACGAAAAGCTGTTTTTTATTAGTGGTTTAGTGGTTGCTTCTCATCTACCCCCGTCAAATCTAGACCAAAATAAAAAGCCAGTACGTGGCCATTCGAAACTTATTTACATACCAGCTACAAACCCCTGCTAGATGTAGAATATTTATTCGAGTTTCATTAAAATATAATTCATTTCAGGTGGCGCCGAGTCAACGGGCTACATAACCGATGAACCGGGCTTGGAAAATATATCATTGCTTAACGAAGCCGGTCTCACAGACGCCGAAGGCGCCCTATCCGATGTCAATTCACTTTACAATGCACCCGATGTGGACGATACATCGGTATCGAGTCGTGCCAGTTCACGACTACTCAGTTTGGATTCGCTGAGTGGTCTGTACGATTGCGATTTGGATTCAAAACATGAAATGGCGATTGTAAATGTTTCGCACAAAATCACTAATAAATTTGGACCACAGCAACAAAGTTAATTACAACACGTAAAGCTGCTAGTGTAAAAAGAATCCTAAGGTGAAAGAAGCAACTAACTGCAATTACAAATACTTACATATGTGCACAAGTATTTAGTACTCAAGCACATGATATAGTGATAAGAATGGTGTAAATTATTTTTCGGTGAATATACTGTAGCCCTTTCCCGTGATCTAACTATTTATGTATGAATCAAGCTACATTAATAAGTAGTGGAAAGTTTTAGAAATTTACACGAGAAATTTAGAAGAAGAAATACGTTTAAAAAGTTACTGAAATCGAGTGTAGTAACGAAAAATAAAATGGCGGGAAAATTGGTGCCTCCGAGACAGTTAATAGATAAGCGAAAAAAGTGCAAGTAAAGTGCGAGAAGAAGTCATAGTACTAGTATGTGTAGAAATGATAGCACAACAAATAAATACATAATGTTGAATTTAGAAACTAGCAGTAGGTGCTAAAGAAGAATACTTATCAACATAGAACTTATGTAGTATGCAGAGTTGCCAGAACTCAACGTTTACCAACAAATCTGTAATAAGTTTATATTAAGTAAAATCTGCATGTATATTTATTTAGATATAAGAATTCATGTGTATAAAAAACATTGTACATACATATAGAAGCATTTGTCAGAGAATGCTTTAAATGACTTTAAACAAGAAAGAAAATTAGTACTAAATAAACGTAGGCACTTGCATAACTGTTTGCAAAGAAGTATTGTAACCAAGTAACTAGATAGGTTCGAGTATATGTAACTTTGATTGAGTCAGTGGTAATATAAATATGTACACGCTCTCAAGTCCTTTTAGGATATACAACCAAAATTGAGGCAAACTAATTGACAAACAAGTATACATGCACATGTATACGTAATTAGAATTATTATCATAAAAATTATACAGTTATGATAATATATGTACTTATGTGTATATACATACATAGATGTCTATGTTAAAAATATGGTAATTATAGAATTATAATTTGCGCAGTCAAACCCTTGAGTGCTCTACAATTACTCAAAGAAAAATGTAATGCTGATATACATAGGTACAAAGATACTTAAACTATGATTATGTATACATACTTAAATTAGCTGTACTAAAACTTACTTGCATTGAGTACATACATATATGTATAAATACATACATACAGACTTATGCGACACTGCAGCGGCACTACGCGAGATTTTTGACGCTGTTTTTTTAACTTTTTTCAAAGATTGGTTTAAGGAAAACTTGAATAACGTAGCCAAAACTACACCTATTTATACTTATGAGGTATCATTGGAAAGGTATTTTCTTACACTTCTTTGCAAATAAACTCATTTAAAGTGTTCAAGAGTAAGATAAGATGAGCGTCGTTCCAAGTTGAACTAAGAGCTGTTGATATTTGCAAAACAAATCAGTGAAGCTCGGAACACTTTGACGACTGCAACTTCACGACGTAACGACAGCGACATCATTTTGTCGACAAATGTCGCCTTGAAGCCAGCTTCTTAAACATTTTGAAGACCTCAGCGACATAGCAAACAGCTGATTTTAAAGTTTGACATTTTGGTATATTTATTTCACAAATTGTGTATTTAAGAAAAACATGAACAATCAAGAATATGTGATTAATTTTGCGACAATTTAATTTTGCAGCACTACATCTACTCATTGTCGCCGGCCAAATTAGAAATAGATTTAATTTGGCGACGTCGACAATTGCAGTCCTGCAGCCAAGATGTCGTGCTGTCGTCAAAATAATTGTGTTCGTAAGAACGTGTGTATTTAAAATTTGACAGATGCTGCTTGTCGCTTGCTGTCGTCAAACTGTTCCGAGCTTAAGAAAGCTGGCCTGGACGGCACCGGCTGCGCAATATCCTCGGGGTAGCGTCGCGAGTTCGTATACACGAAGTTGAAGGCGAAAATAAAGTGAAATTTTTATATTGAATTTTAAGTACGTCATTAAGAATCAGTGATTAATTTTTGCCTTCAGCTTCGTTCATATACTAACACGCGACGTTACCCCGCAGGTGCTACGTAGTCGGCGTCGACCAGGTCTGCTGATAAGTCTAAATCGGTAAAGTTTTGGCTGAGTTATTCAGGTTTTTCTTAAACCAATATTTGATAAAATTTCAAAAAGACCATCAAAAATCTCATTATTATGATTCCGTTAAAACAAAAAAAAAATATTTGTATGCAAAATTTTTTAGCTTAAACTGTTTTGTCATCTGAGGTAATTTTGTTTTTCAAAAATACTTTTAGAAACTATTTTTATTTATAAAAAACTCCATTTTTGAAGATATTTTCAAATCGGTCCAGCTAGGTATTCACTATATCTGTCGGCTGCTTCTGACACTAATTCTTATCATGTCCAAGCATTTTGTGTTTAATATTTCACTCCTTTCCTCGAAGGATTTTTCACGAACCTAAAATAATTTTCTATACAAAATTTCAATTTTCGATTCGTACGAAAACAAGAATACGCCTCATTAAGTCGTAATGAAAGGTACTGCAAATGTTAAGTGTAACGTAGCCAGTGAAAAACTAAAAAAGTTGTTTTTTGAATAATTAAGTACCCTTTCCAAAAGGATATATAACATATTTTCTTAGTATTGTCGATATCATACTGATTCCATATAGAAAAAAAGAAATCATAGCTGACTTCGTTGCACAATTACCTAATAAATAAGTGTAACTAGGCTAGTGCTCTTCTTTTTATTTAAATTTTTTTTATTGACTTGATAACTATTCTCATTTCATTTTAGCAATAAATAATAACACATATTTAAGAAAGTCTTTTCATGAACAATTGCGAATTGAGCATTCTACTTCTATTGAAATAAAGCGAAACTGACATTTGTTCCTTTTAAATCTTTATCTCAAGATTTTGACTATATATTTGCCTATACATATAAAACTGATAAGTCGTCGGCCGCTGTGGTGTAGTGGTAAGCAGTGCGCGCTTCCACTCCGCAACGCCTGGATTAAAGCCCTGGTCAAAGCAACATCGCAAAAAAATTTAGAAAGAGGTTTTTTCTTAACAGCGGTCGTCCCTCGGCAGGCAATGGCAAACCTCCGAGTGTATTTCTGCCATGAAAAACAGCTTCTCATAAAAATACAATCGCCGTTCGGAGTCGGCGTAAAACTGTAGGTCCCTCCACTTTGTGTGACAACATCAAGGCGCACGCCACAAATCAGAGGAGAAGCTCGGCCAAACACTAACGTATGTGTAAGCGTCAATCTATTATTATTATTATTATTATTATCTGCCCATTATACGTGATTGTGCCCATAACATACTATTTTATAAAATCTGAAACAAGTCTACACAAAGCTATGAAGAGTTTATAGATCTATTTATTTTGTTAAAAATTGTTTATGTTAGAACTTTTTTATAAAACTGCGATAAATGCATTAACTTTTTTTATCTAAGATTAACAAAGTTGTGGCATTGGAAAAACAATAATTCAGAAAGGATTAAAAAGAAAACACACAACATGGTACTTTAGATGAGCTTTTGCATATTTTAAGTTATTAAACATAAGTGGTTTTTGTAGTAAAGTTAAATAAATATTATTTGCGCCGATAATACGAAGATTTTTTGGACAAAAATTTTAGTTTAGGATGATTTTTGACCTAGTTAGAATTTTTGAGGATAATCAAGTTTTGTTTTTTAATCCGAATTTTAGCAGACGATTTAACGATGAGCTGTATGAGCTTTACAACGATATAGACATAGTGCAGCGAATTAAAATTCAGCGGCTCCGCTGGCTTGGCCATGTCGTTCGGATGGACAGAAACGCTCCTGCTCTGAAAATATTCAACGCGGGCCGCGATGCTGGGAACAGAGGAAGAGGAAGGCCTCCTCTGCGTTGGAAAGACCAGGTGGAGAAGGACTTGGCTTCACTTGGCATTTTCAATTGGCGTCAGTTAGCACAGAAGAGAAATGACTGGCGTGCTGTTTTGGACTCGGCCAAAATCGCTTAGGCGGTTACAGCGCCAAATAAGAAGAAGAAGGAGTTGTTTATGATGACAGATTAATAGCGTTTCTTTTCTCAAAAAAAGTTCAGCCCTTTTTAATGGGAACTCTTGCTTAGCGTTGCCCTGAAACCTGAGAAAATGTTGCGTTCTTTATATGAGAATGAAACAGAAAATATACTACTCCATCACAATTTATTTATAGAACTTAATAAAGCTGAATTATTCACTTGGCCTGTAAGTCTTTAACAATTTTAAAGCAGAACGCTTATTTCTGATAGGGAAAATAATTGCATTTTTACAAGATTAAATTAAAAATCAACCATGCAGCTGCAGAAAAGGCAGCACTTTCGCCGGATCAGAGCGCAACCTGCTGAGAAAAGAACACGACGCCTTGTGAAATGGCTGAGAAGATAACATGAAAATGTGACAGCGCTAACACAAGGCAGAATAAGTGCAGCCTTTTTTCGAGAAGAGAAAACGCTATAAGATTGCGAAGAAGAAATGGATGAAAAAAGCCTTTTGGTTAAGCCTTGCCCAAGCGAACCGTACGTGTAACGTGGCCAGCGCTTTATGTAACGGTACCGGTGCCCAAATTTTATGAGCAAAAATGGTCAAAAACCTAAAATTTACAACAATTCAGTAAGCAGATGACCACCTGCATTCATTGTAGATGACGTACTGAAAAGCTAGCTGACGCAACCTATCATTAAATTTCCAAATAGTGTAACGTAGCCAGTGCACATTCGAATGCCTACAACTTTGAAACCCAAGGATTTATTAAAACCTTTCTTTTACAGATGCATAGATTTGACCTTACCTGATCATATCACCTAAAAAGCCCAGTTGGTTTTGTGTTATTTAGTCGACAATTAAATCATGTTTTAGAAAAAATGTGTACGAATTTAACTTAGCTAGCCAAATGATCGGCCATATGTACATATATAGTGTGTACAGTGGCCGAGTCCATTTACTATGGTGAAATAAGCACTTTCTGTAGCCAAAAATCAAACAATGCAAATAGGCGCTTAAAATCTTATGCACATGCTTCTGAGAATCTCAAAAGGCATTACACATAGGGACGAATCGAGAATATAGGACGACAAAAATGTTTACTTCATATGTATTTGACAGATTGCAATGAAATTTGATATTTAGGGGTTTTCTTCAACACTGTTTTTTAATATTATATTAAGTTTCCAAAATCCAATATGACGGACGACTATTAACACGGTCTTAGTCGTCAATGATTTCGAAATCGATGTCAAATTTTCAAAATTCAAAATCCAGTTTAGCGGACGACTTCTTTAAAACTTTATAGATTAGGTGCATTCGCGTATTGATAGTTTTTGATAGCTATCAAAACCTGTCAGGCTTTGCTGTTCTCGTACACAAAAATCCAGCAAAGTAGCGGAAATTGAAAGGCAAAACTGGCATTTCATTTTGATGGGAAGCTGCTAGTTTCTGCTGGAAAAATTTTTGCCAGCAGGATAAACAGCTGATCGATGTCAGCTGATTGCAAAATATGAAAATATGAAAAGTTTAAAATAACTTATTAGATCTGCAAATGTATCAGAAAAAAGCTAACAATCATTTAAATACTTATGTTTGCTAAGCAAAATTCTTTAGGCAAACTTATAATGTATATTCTTTTCATACTTTCAGTTTTATGCTTTGTAAGTAAACAAAATTTCTGCTGGAAGAATACGCGAATACGCCTATTGCTATGAAACTTGGTATCCAGGGGTTTCCGTCGTCATTGATTTCGAAATCGATATTAGCTCTGATCCAATACTTTTCGTGAAAAATCCTGTAAAACTGTCAAACAGCAAAATTACTCTCTGAAGTGAGAGTAAAAAGTGAGTAACAACAAAAAGTACGGGAACAAAAAAACCATTTTTCCTGTAAAAACGCCAACCAGTGATTGCTTGACACTTTTCATGATTTTACCAAAAGAAAAAGTTCGGGTAAAATCTTGCAACTTCATTCTCTACACAACTCTCCAAAAGTCGCTCTCATTTACAGGATTTTGGAGTACGGGAACATTTTTCCTGTAACTTCCTGCAAGTTCGTTCAAAATCCTGTAAGTTCATGGAGTACTGGATCAGAGCTATTAAATTTTCAAAATTCAAAATGGCGATTCAATATGGCGGACGACTTTTTAGAAAAAAATTTAGTTTGTAACGAAACTTGGTATCCAGGAATTTTCGAGGTGACTGATAACAAATATGATAAATAGCTGCATTATTTTGCAACCGAGCTACAAAAGAACACTCGCTTAAATGACGAAATACACGCAAAGCAACAGCACAAACTCGGCAATTTATCTAAGTTCAGCCATGGCGATTAAAAAATACGCAACCTGAAGGGTAGTGTTGTTAAGTGAAAAAACTGTTATATTGAGAATTGTTAATGGGAAAGTGTAGAGGGAAATTTTTGTTTCCTTATATACGTGACTTATATGTTAAATGAGTATATATATTACGCAAATACCTCGCATAATTACTAATTTAAATTGGTTTTTGTATCTAAATCCCGTTGAGCTAATCACATGTTTCTTGCCAGCTAACAACAGGGTTGCTTAAGTAGCTTTCTTCTTTTGTCGCTCGCTTAGAAAAGAATGCAGCTATTAAATTTTTAAAATTCAAAATGGCTGATTCAGTATGGTGGACGACTTTTTTTTCGTCGTCACTGATTTCGAAATCAGCATTAAATTTTCAAAGTTCAAAATTCGGTGTATTATCCATCTTGGCCCGACTGTTATTTATTAATAAGAATAAAATTGCGTGTGAAACTATTTTATCATCACTTAAAATAAAAATTATAATTTATTTCGACGCCCGAAAGCAAAACCAACTTTGCGCTTGTGCTAAGGGTAGTGCATTGCGTTAAAAGTCGAAACACCTATGTCGCATTCTGGACTGGTATGTCAAGAATATATATTTTATAGGCGGCATAGACGGTGCGTCTGACTCGCGAGTTATTTGAGTACGTGTTGACTCGCCTTCGACTACACACAGTTGAATCATTCAGAGTCATGACGGGAGTCATGTAGGTGTAACTAACACATATTTATTTTCACAAATACATCCAAACCGACGCACGAGTCCGACGCACTGTGTATGCCGCCTATTAAAGGTAAATTTGATAAGGTTTAAAGAATTTTGTTTTTCTTTTTTTTTGTCATCGTCATTAGTCAGTTTGTAACTCCATAACTCGAAACAAATTTCTCCAATATATTGGTTTCGCCATTTTGAATTTTAAAAATATATACTTTAAATTTCGTAAATCGTAACTGGATACCAAGTGTCTTAACAATCTATAACTTTTTGAATTCGAAAATTTAATATCATATTCGTAATCATTGACCCCGAAATCGACTGGATACCAAGTTTCAAAACACTCTATAATTAAAAAAGTCTCCATATCGAATCCACCATTTTGAATTTTGAAAATTTAATAACATATTCTTAATCAGTAAATAAACAATTTATTGGGTTGGGCCTTTGTGAATTAAGGTAACGATATTAAGTATACATATAAAAATATGCTCTACTTAATGAAGGTGGAAACGGGGGGACGAGTTTTTGTTGTTTTTACATGGCAATTTGTTCGGTTTTCGAGCTATTGAAGAGAATATTCTGTATTTGTGATAACTTTTTTTATAACTCTTACTAAAATAAAAATTTCAAACCTTTTCCAATAAAAAAGGCATTTTATGAAATGCGTATTATAACCATTCTACAAACAACTATGTTCTTAATAAACATCGCAAAATAAAGTACTTAACTGACGCCTCAGTATGCATGTTGGCCAAACTGTTATTTGTTAATTAGAATAAAATGACAACCAAAATTATTTGATCACCACTTAAAAAAAAAAAACAAATTGATTCGACGAACGAGAGAAAAGCCAACTTTGCGCTTGTGCTAAAGCTACTGCGTTGCCTTAAACGTCAAAATTTCTATGTTACATTGTGGACTGGTTTATAAAGAGTATTTTAAAGTTATGTGTGATAAGGTTTGAAAATCAGCGAAATCCATCCCATAACCACACCAACCCTTCTAAAATGGAGAAAAATTATTTATTGGAAAACGTCATTAGAAATGCGAAACGCCAAGCACCTTTGGTTAGTTTTAAAAATTTCTGTTTTAGCAAGCGCTCATAACCTTATTAGGCATAGAGTGCGCCTTAAAACTAAGGAAAACATTTATAACAATTGCTGTCCTGCAAGGAGTAAAATCTCAACAACATATTTTAAAGTCAACTTTACTCTACTAGGATTATGTGTTACCTTTGAATATGTAACTTATTTAATTATATGCATATGCATGTATTTTCTTAAATTGCTAATTTTTGCAAAAATCTTTTCAATTTAAAGCTTATTTATTGTTTAACGTTAAAAGTAAAAATTTGCTATTGTATATCCTAATTTTTGGGCTATTTTTATTATACTTGATACGCTTCCTTAGGTTATTTTTATCCTTTTTAAAATTAAGAAATATATATTTCACTAATCACTATACCCAACTGTTATTTACTAAAACTCTATGTATGTATGAAAATACTCTTTAAACAAAAAAGCCTCTCATGCACAATTAATTACGTACTTTAATTTTATATTAAATCTATAAGTGAGAAGTGAAATTACTTAAACTTTCAATTATACGCTGTATATACATATGTACATACATTACATACATACCTAAAAGGAAATGAATAAAAAACTATCACTTTAAAATGATATCTTCTTTTTATTTCTTATTGGCACTGTAACCGCCTATGCGATTCTGGCCGAACAAAGCACGCTATCCGTTTCTCTTCTCTGCCAACTGACGCCGATTGGAAATACAATGTGAAACCAAGTCCTTCTCCGGCTCGCCTTACCTTCGCAGGCCTTCCTATTTCTCTATTACCAGCATCGAGATCCTATCGCCGCGCTATACATACATATGTATAGCATTTTCAGTTTAAATGAAACCATTTTCAAATTAAGTGAAACCATTTTCAGGTTAAGCGAAACCACTCAATAAACATTGGGCTTGCTTAACAAATCGAAAATGATTGGAAAACCAATATATTTTTCGAGTGTCATCTTCGATAACTAATGTGGAATAGATTTGTATTCGATTCGAGAAGTAGGCCATTCTGCAGCAAAACGCAACCTTCGTTATCCAATGTATTTTTCCTTCGTTATGAATTCGAAATCCAGCCCATTATCGTATTTAAATTTTAATCAGAGAGAGTGATTTTCTTTTATTTCCCTTCGATAATGAGCTGGATTTCACTTCCTCTCTTGTTACTAAGGTTTTAATTTTTTTTTGCACCCATCTTGAATGTAATTCAAATACACTATGAATGTTGGAAAACTAAGGTTGGTTATGAGTTCATTCTCAGTTCGATATGCATATTGGATATCGAAGGTCATTTTCGAACGTTCACCAAAATGTTTATAGGGCATTTTCAAATTAAATAAAACCTTTTTCAGGAAAACCGAAACTTTTTTCAAATTAAATGAAACCTTTTTCAGATTCAATGAAACTTTATTCAAGGCAAATGAAACTTTTTTCAAATTTAGTGAAACATTCCTAAAATGAAGTTTCATTTAATTTGAAAAAAGTTGAATTTAAACTGAAAATGCTATATTGTAAAGTTCATATAGCTGGTTGTGATTTTTTTACTTCATGAGAGGACTTCGCCTACTCGGTCCAAAGTAGCACTTGATTATCCGTTGGGTTTTAGAGCTGGCATTATTAATGGTGTTATCGTCTACTTTTTCGAAATTATAAGTGTCTTTTAAGTGTCGAGACGCGTAAGCTGCCTGTTTTTCTGATGACGGGAGATACTTTGTTTTGAACTCATTCAGCAATAACTCACGCGCTCCGCTTCTCTCTCATAATCTTTGTTTTTACCGATGCTCTCGGCATAAGCCATCAATTGCACGCTTTTGTAAAAATTTTACTCGAGCGCCCTATCCAAGTATCATTCCATCTCCCGCTTCATAGATTCTCGCGATTCTATGAAGCCTGACTGGATTGGCGACCAGTGTTGCCGCGCCGTCTCAAGAAAATGTATCACCGACCAAGCAAAAAATGTATCGAAATGTTTCCAATTTTCTGTTTTTACGTATCCATCTCATAACTTGTAAGAGAACAAAATCTTTTCAAGATATATATAATTTTATTTTCCAAAAAATCAAACCTTTATAATTTCAGTTTGTAAGTTAAATTTTTTGAGCATAAGTTTTTTGCAAAGTATAATAGTAATTAATATGTTACATTTGTACCTGTACACTTTAAACAGTGCATGTATGTAAAAGTAAACAGGCAGTGTTTAATTTTATTACACGGTGGAAACTTTGCACACATTAAAAGGGGAAACTGGTTACCTCTCTTAATATACGCAAATTTGGACAAAAAATTTTTAGAGTGTATTTAAAGTCATATCAGTAAAATTCATACAAATTGTCTTTTTTTAAAAGACACTGAGATCTTTTTTCTTTTTAACCGACTTCACAAAAAGGAGAAGGTTCTAAATTCGTCGAAAATTTCTTTTTATGTATGTTACTGCATATCTTTGGACCACATTAACCGATTTCAATAACTTTGTTTTTTTTTCAACCTCATAGGTGGTCTATACTAGTTTTGTTTAAATCCGATCAATGTATCATGAAGAAATTAACGATAATCTTAAATTTTTTTTTTTGCTTAAAAATTACATGTTAAATAAAGAAATGAAAGTTGTGATATGAAAGAGATCACTATAATTATACTTTATATATATTTTGATCTTGCTTAAAGCACCCTTTTTAGCTAATTAAAACAATTGCGCTTATACCTAT